CAAAAACAAACAAACAAAAAACAAAACCAAACCCTAAACAATGAATTATCAAATATTTTTATGGAAACAACTAAAAGCAAACATAAATGTTGTAAGTCATACAGAGCACAGTTGCTCAGATGACTGTGGGGTGTTAATAAAACCAGGACCTTTATGATCTTAGTTGCTATGCCATGCCAGGAAATGGATCCCTGGGTGCATATACACAGCCTTGCCTCTTACAAGTTAGTTACAGCATTCCCCACTCTAGGGTATAGAGTCTTTACAGAACAAAATAGCCATCCCTCCATCTCAGTATCTGGTTGGACATAGTGCCTTGTCGGCTTGGGAAATGGTGCCATTGTTGGGTCAAACAGTTGCACCTCTAAGAGCCTTCGCCTCCTGGAGAACTGGAGGGCTGGCTGAGCTGTGTTCATTGCTTTCTGTGAAGGCCAATTAAGGGAAGATCTTTCCTACTGGTCAAGAGAAATGCAATCTCTGGCCTGGGTGGAGACCTAACACCTTGAGTTGGACAGGTCAATTCCCTGGTAAGGAACTATTATCTCGGGAAGCTAGAGCCATCATAAGGTACACTAAAGAGATGAGAATATAATAATTCCTTTAATGAGACAATGCACTTCTCCTTCCTAGAATTCCTGACTCTTGTGCATGGCTGTAGAGCTTCCATGACCTTCTGTTGAGTCTGCCCATCTTTTTGAGTCTTGACTCAGATGTTTTTTTTTTTTCCACAAGAACCCAACCTCTTTTTTGGTTAAGTTTGTTGTATTCTTTTTTTTTTTTTATTTCTTATTTTACAATCCCAGTTCCTTCTTCCTCCCTCCCTCCCATGCCCCTAATCCTCCTCCCATTCCATCCCCCCACTCCATAAGGAGGAGAATGCCTTTTAGGAGGGGTCATCAAAATCTGTCAAGTCATTTGGAGTAGGGTCTAGGCCCTCTTTCCTGCCTCTAGGCTAAGGGAGTATCCTTCCATGGGGAAAGTGCTCCCAAAGTCCTTTCATGCACCAATGATACATCCTGGTTCCACTGTCAGAGGTCTTATAGACTGCTCAGGTCTTCTAACCAAGACCCACATTCAGAGGATCTGAGTCCACACAATGCTGGTTTCCCAGCTATCAGTCAGAGCCTATGTATATTTTTTTTTCTGGTACTCTGGACATTTTTATTTCTTCTCCAAATCCCTCATCTGCCTGTGCTCTGTGTGTGTGTGTGTGTAGTAGTTGAATTCTGTGCTCAACTCAAATGGCATGGTTTGGCTTTCTCTGTTCCTCTTTTCTAGCTTCTGCTGAGATTTACAGAACCTACTTGCTTTGGAGTGCTTCTTTTGAAATGCTTGTAAAATTGTCCTCAAGCTTTCCTCTATGTCTGTTCTTAAAATCTTTTATTGGTTTCCTTTATAATATCAAGAGCAAAGTGTAGTTGATTGGCTTTTTTTTTCTCTTTGCTTTTTGGGTAACCCACCACCCAGCTCCCAAATAAATCACACGTGAATCTTATTCTTATGAAGGCCTTAGCTTGGCTTGTTTCTAACTAGCTTTTCTTAACTTAAATTATCCCATCTACCTTTCCTCTGGGCTTTTTATCTTTCTCTGTTCTGTATACCTTTCTTTACTTCCTTCTCTGAGACTTGGTGTATAGCTGGGTGGCTGGCCCCTGATGTCCTACTCCTTTTCTTGCTCCTTGATAGTTTTCCTCCCGGTTTCTTCTCTTATTTGTTTTCTCTGCCAGTCACCCCTGCCTATTCTTTCTCTCGCCTTGCTATTGGCGAGAGTTTCACAGAGTTAAACAAATGCAGCAATAAAGAATGCAACACATCTTTGCATAATTAAAATAAATGTAACACATCTTAAAATGATATTACACAACAGCAAACAGCCAGCATACCTTGCTTTGCTATAACTGGAATAGCTAGAATATGGGCTAAAGTGGTCTCTCTACTCCCTAGGTAGTAAGCAGATGTAGCACAAAAAATAAAAGGACTCAGACAGATATTGGGGTTCAAGCTTCAAGCTGAAGATCAGAAAAGCAAAGCAGTTAGCCACTAGCTCTTATTTCTACCTCAGACTGAAAGGCTATCCTGGCTCCACCAAATCTCAGACTGCTGCCTCTCCTCAGTGTGGCTGGAGAAACTTGAGACTGAATGCCTTCCTCAATGTGGCTGAAGAATGAATCTAGCTCTGAGACCCTGTCCCTGCCTTAAATACCTCTCATGAGTCCTGGGATTAAAGGCATGAGAGCTCAAGTGCTGAGACCATCTTTGTGTGAGCTTTTTTTTCTTTAGGACTGGATATAATTCTTGTAGCTCAGTGTGGCCTTGAACTAACAGAGATCTTTCTACATCTGCCTCCCAAGTGGTGGGGTTAAAGCTGTGTGTCACCATCGCCTGGCTTCTATAAATTGTGGCTGATTTTCTTTCTGAATCCTCAGTCAAGATTTAAAAAATCATAAACAATATATCAACACAAGCAGACATAACACTGAATACCCTGTTTTCTTGAACAAAGCCATGATAGTATCACGCTTATCTTAAAAATTGGATTCCTGTGTACATGGTCTCACAGGTCTTGGATCCCTGCCTTGTCCAACCATAGCAGGACTGATAGTCACCACTAAGTGATACAACATCTGAATACATTGCTACTGACTCTTCATGGCTCCATATCCAAACTGCAATTGCATCTTGATGCCCCGAGTCCACGTTTATTCTTGTCCAGAGCCACATAAGTATTTAGCCTCTGCTTCCAGAGTCAGAATTATGACTAAACTGTTTCCAGAGCTTCTAGGATGTTTCAGAGTTACAGATCCTGACTTTGGGTGTGGTTGTTAGCCACCATGACATAGAGACTGAATATACACCCCAGTTTCAGGTGAAAGTGTGACTGTCCTGGAAAAGGGGAATGTTTTAAAGAGAAACTTGTGCTCTTTCCTTGGCAATTGGTCCCAAGAAATTAAAAAATTTTCCACAAATTTTGTGCTGGACAAAAGAATGGGTGAAGTCCTGGCACCAGCAGAAAAGGATCTGTCTCCTGGAAAGAGATTTCTTGCAGTCCTGACAACTTGCCAGACCATCTTTCAGGGCATAATGGAGTCTAATAGTGATGCATCAGTGCAGGAGGCAAGCCTGGGTCAGGACTGCTTAGATATGTGTTTTCCTTTATTTTATCTTAACCCTCATGTGGAGACCCTGACCAAGCACTTGGGAGGGGGAGGAAACTCATTTTACCTCTTGTTCTCTCAATGTAGCTAGATGGAATAAATTTCCTTTCTCAAGTCATTAGTATTAGTTGTATTTTAAATTGGCCAATTGAGAGTGAATGGTAATGTCTACTTTTTAAGACCATAAGGACTCTAACCCTAATGACTCTAGTACTAAATTCAGTTTTACAAATCACTAAGCCCAAGGTCCAGGATGTACAATGACTCTGAGAACACAAGCTTTGTATTCTACTACTGATGTCACTACATTCAACCCTTTGAGAGGTCATTTCAGCTAAATCTCACCTGTATGTAGATAATGAGAATCAAACATCCCTCAAACCATTGCTCCTAAGAAAACCTGTGTTGCCACAAACCTTGCTAGCAACTTCTACGGTTTCAACTATGGAGGCACTTTCACCCATTGACAACATTCATCACAATGGAAGAAGCCACACCGAACCTACACCCCAGCGTCCCCTGCAACCAGAGAACCATCACATTTCCTCCAGTTCATCTTCTGGTGAAGTTTTGCTTGGTTAAAGCCCCTCTTTAAAAGTTTAAAGGAATGACTACTGAATCAGTACACAGGATTTCCCACTGTCTCCAACTCTTACATCTGGTCATCTCATTCTTCTGGTCTCATTTTGGATGTTGTTGCCTCTGGAATGACTCTTTATGCCCAAAGCTGAGGTCACTGGGGTCCTATTAGGACTCAGTCTGTTGTACATTATCTTGGAGAGAACTAACTGATAAGCCAGGGTTTTAACATGTTTGTGTGTGGACTTGTCTGAATTTTCCAGTAGCTTACAAACTCCCCAGCAGCAAGGTTTATTTATATCCTTCTACACCATCTTAACTATGACCATTGCTTAATATATGGAAAATTGTCTTTAAGAAATTTTTGAATGAATAAAAGTTGCCGACCACTTTCCTTTCCATTTTGCTGTGATTTGGATGCATATGCCCCTTCAAAGGGTTAGTAATTTGAGGTTGTGATCTTCAGTGGGGAGATGAGGATGAAATGGAAGCTTTATGTGTTGTGGTCTAGAGGTGAGTAAATACATCATCATCATCTTTCCATCTTTTCATGTGATCGTCACCTCTTAGCCAAACATTTTGTTGCAGTAATGGAAAACAGACTAATACTTCTTGCATGAAGTCAAGGATTATTTTATTTTATTGATAAACAATCCTAGGGGATTGACAAGATAATTTAGTAAATCATTGCAACCGAATTTGTTTTAAATGCTTCTTTGGCTTAGAAAGGGGTTATTTACTCCATAATTGCAAAACACTATTTATTTCTTTGCAACCAACATGCTGCCACTTGATGGGCTTTTATAGTAAATCCCGAACAGTGAGATTTCATTTAAAAAATCCCACATGAAAAGCATACTTAAACAATTTTCTAGGAAACAGAAAGATGATATGAAAATATGTGAAATTATCATAAACAGGCATTTGTTAGTTTTTGCTGTTTTGAGAGAGGTTCTCCTTATGACAGTCAGGCCAGGCTGGCTATAAGTCACAATCCTTCAGACTCTGACTCCTGGGAAATAGGGATCAAGGCATACACCAGCCACCTTGTCTGAAGTGGGCTTTACAAATGGGTAGAAGGGATATGATGGTAACTATGGTCTGTTAAGTACATACACTGATACACTCAGTAAAAGCTGTGCTATTGTTTTAATCAGAAAGATTGTGACATTGTTTCTCGATGCTTTTCCAAGAACAACACACGCTTGCAAGGAGGCAGAACCAGTGGATACTTCTTCTAATAAAAGGGGAACTAGTTGTGTTTCTCAGAGGTTCCCCACAGAAACCTTCAGGATTTAGAAAAAGCACTGGAATTAAGTTTAGTGTCACATGGGATGTGGGCAAGTCACCACATCTGAATGAAGAACCTGAGGTGCATTCCCAGAGATTGCTCTTTGTCTGACTTTCCAGTTGAGAAGAAAGGTAGGTGCACACTTACCTTTCATGGCCTTTTGTGATGATGGTTTTTCATTTCATGTTCTAGGACACCTGGGAGTAGACTAAGGAAAAAAAAAGAGGTCCTGTCCTATGTTACCAGCCACTGTTCTGGATGAAGGAAGGGAAGAGTTTACTTTGACATGTACTTTTGAGGGCATTTGGGGAGCAATCTGTGCTGCAATGCTTGGGGGCAAGAAAAAAATAAGGGTCCAGTAAAAGACAAAAGTGGGTTCTGTATGAGATCTTAGCTGACTTTGTTCTTAAAAACAGAAAGCAGTACTTTCACCTTTGATCATTTCATGGATTCTGAATGTCCCTTCTTCCACAGTATTTGTTCTCGTCTAGCATGTGTTACTTTTACAGTTCATCAGTTAAGAAACTACCTGCCACATGCAGAATGTGGTGATGATGCTGGAGAAAGTCGAGACCCCAGTCTATCATACTTAGCCCAAACCTGAGGTAGATTGTTACCTGATCTTTGGTACTATTCATGCATCACACACTCAGAGCATAAATTTAAGCTTCTCATAGGAAATGTAGGAATTAAAGAGGCCTTGAAGATTGTTAGGGTCAGAGGAAACTGTGCAGTCTTTGCTCAGATGAGATGAAACATACCCAGAAGAAAAAATGACTAGAAACTTCTATTAGCTTGAATTACAACCCGCACTTCCTGGATCTTAGTCCAGGACTCTTTAGCCAAGGTCATCTTTTCCCTACATTTCTACCATTTTCTTGAGACTTCCTATTGAATCTCCACTTTATTTTATGATTATTTTTGTTAGACCATCTTCTTGATGATTCCTTCTAGATTGTTCTGACCCGTGAGAGATAATCATATAGAAGTGAGAAAGCATGGCTGGTGCTGATGCTGATTCACAAGGAGTTTGATGCTGTTAGAAGGACTAGGGCTGCCTGTGTTTCTCCATCTCTGTACTGTGGATAAAAAATAAAGACACTATACTTGTCAATAGTCTTGTAAATGACATAGATAATATAAAACCTTGGCAGATTCCTCCCTAGCCTAGAGAACTACCCTTCAAGTCTATGTAATAGTCTTTGGTTTATATGAAAGTTGGTACACTGAGCTCTAGACCATAAACACACAATTTATTTTGTCCTTGAGGAATTTATTTGTCTTGTGTTAAAAGGTGTGTGTGTGTGTGTGTGTGTGTGTGTGTGTGTGTGTGTGTGTGTGTGGTGTGTGAATGGAGGAAGCAGCTGCATGGATTTACTTACAAAGTTCTTTAGAAGTAGTTAACATTGGCCCCACATATCTAGAATACAACCCATTTTACCAGAGAATCATGGAAATATGGTAGGGGACCCTGTTGATACAGAATCTGTCCTAGAGAAGATCCAACCTAACTAGAAATGAAATAACAAACTCAGAAGAACCCCCAGTGCTGTGATGCACTATTGACATGCCCAAGTGCATTGACAGGCACTTTAAAAGGTGAGTGTTTGGAGGTTCAGTTGTTAGAGCAAGAAACAAATTGATTTTGAAGCTTGGCAGCCCAAGGAAGATGGTCACTATTATCAGCAAGGCCATCTTCTTACAGATTGCTCACACAGGCTTATACAGGGGATCTGTTTAACATGTGTAGATGACATGGAAATTACAAATATGGAATGCTTTGCTTTGCTGATTGATACACAGGCGGCTGTTGCCTGAAACTGTACCATGTGCTGAACTTTAAAAATGTGAAGGAAATATACTGAAGGTTAAGCGTTATGGCTATGCCATTTTAGTTTTCCCAAATAACTAATCCTATAATGAATCATTAGGGTAAGCATCTCCCATCAAAAACTGGGAAGGTAGTAAAAGGCAACATTCCCCCAAAATCTGGGGGCACAAAAGACTGACAGTATTCACTGAGAGCAGCTGTTAGCTCCTTAGAGGATTCCAAAAAGAGGAGACAAGTACTAGACTGCTCAGCGGCTTGACTTCAAATACAGTGGTTTCCAAAAATAAACCTGAAGCGAGTGGAGCTAGAGTATTTATATAGAGTGTATGCATATGTGTGCCTGTACATGTGTACACATATGTATGATTGACAGTGTGCATGTGGGTGAATGTGTGCACTCATGCATATGGAGGCAGCAGTCAACCTTGGGTGTTGTTTCTCTGGTTATATATAATTGTTTTCTTGATATAGGGCTTCTTTCTGGTCTGGAGCTTGTCAATTAGGGTAGGCTAGTGGGTAAGCAAGCCCCGTGATCCACCTGTCTCTGCCTTCCCAGTACAGAGATTACAAACCCTTGCCACTGCGCTAGCTTTTCATTTTTTAATGTGGGTGCTGGGGACCAAGTGAAGGTTCTTGTGCTTGCAAGGCAAACACTTTATGGATAAAGCTCTCTCCCTACTTAGGTTTTAGTGGTTACAGTTAGAAAGAATCTTCATTTTCTAAATCCTCTGAATGTATGTTTGGAAAATTAAGGACAAAAATAATGACAAAAAGCAAATAAACCGAAGTACACATTAAATCGGATTGAAAATAAACACCCATTCTTTCCCAACACCTTTGCCTTCTATTGCTTATGAGGGAAGTGACACAAATTTCTCAACCGCTTCCTTGCCATTGTTGGCCAAGGAACTCATGTGCAGTGGGGAGCTGTGTGTGAAGGAAGGCAGAGAGCACTGTGTGTAAGAAGAAACGAGAATTGACTTTTGTTGTGTCAGAGCAGAAAAGGGATGTGGTTAAAATAAATACTGCCAAGTAGCTGAATCTGCAAGAATAAAATTGTTGATGTAGAAAAACAAATATATTCAATATAGTTGAGACTCCAAAATTCCAAAAGGAAAAAATAAAAGTAACATTAGAATACAGATTGGGGTTAAAATGTGTCACATGCCTTTAATCCCAGGATGTGGTAGGCAGAGGCAGGTGTGAGTTTGAGGGCATCCTGGTCTACAGAGTGAGTTTCAGAGCATCCAAGGCTGTTACATAAAGAAACCCCATCTCGAAAAAACAAAAAAAAATTAAACAAACAAAAACAAAAACAAAAGAAAAGGAAAAGAAAAGAAAAGGAAAGGAAAAGGAATCAAATGTACTCAAGGGAATGCCTAAAGGTTGTCAGATAAGATGACAAATTCCTTTGCTAAAGTGGGAGAGATGTAGATTTGGGGAAAAAGATCAGTTTTCTAATATGGTCGACTAAGTTCATTGTTGGGCCTTCCATGAAAGAAGGGAAGATAGATTGCCACAGCACTTTTAGAGTTCTTGCCACATCTGTCTCTTGTTATTACTCTTGTTGGGGAATACTGAAAATACGGTGATTTCCAACATGAAGCAAGTGAAGCTAGAGTATTCATTTAGAGTGTGAACATGCCTAAGTGTGTACATGTGTGTGGATGATTGTGTGTATGTGTGTAAATTTATTTGAGATTTAAATGAATGCCACAGAAGTTGAATTTTCACACGTATAAATGCACCCATTACTGTATGTTAGATTTAAGATTATTCTAACCTTTACAAATTTAGACTTTGCGTTCTTCTCAGGAGATGATAAAGTCTATAGATAGGTTGAAATATCCCTACTCAATAGCATAATATGTACATCACTTTATAACTCTGATGTTCTGATGTACGCTACAAGATATACAGACACAAATACAAAGATATTAGAGAAACTGAAAATCAAGGAAATATAGCTCTACAGGACTAGAAATACATGAAGTGCCTGACAATGAATTCATACCATATAATAACCCTAAGGAATTCAATACAAAAAGACACAGTTGAATAATTCAGTGCAACAAGAAAATTCATGGTATGAATAAAAATTTTGACAAAGATTGATATCACAAAACCAAAAAATTTGAAGACCTCAGTAAACAGAATTAGGATACAAAAATTTCAACAGCAGACTACATTAACCAGAAATTTTAAAAATCTGAGAACTTAAAAAATTATTCTTTTGAAATTTTTAACAGAAGAAAAAAATAAGAAAGGAATCTTTAATGTATGAAGATGCTGTTAAGATGTCAATAAAAATTATTATTATAAAACTTGAAGGAGAAATGATTAAAAAATAAGAGTAGAAGTTTTATTTATGAGAACCAAGTCTTAGGAAAGACAATCTAGGTACTGTAAGCACAAGTGTCCCAAATATATTTTTCCTATTATAATGACAAGTAGGGACAAGAGAATTTTTTCAAACATTGAGATAAAAACATTTCACACACAAGGGAATCATGATCAGCCTTGCAGTGAGATTTTATTTTTCAGCAAAATACACTGTGGTCCAGGAGACACTAGGTTGATGTAATCTACTCAGTGTGCTGAAAGAAAGAGTACTTGACAGCCAAGACTATTAAAACTAGAAAAAAATATCTTTCAGAATAGGAAAAGTAAAATGTTTTTCAAGACAGAAAAAGGAAAGAACCTATGACTATGGACTAGCTTTACAGAATATATTAGATACAGGCATTCAATAAGTAATGATGATGATGGGGAGCATGAATGTAAAAAGCTCACAAGTAGATGTAAGTATACATAATCAATTCAGAATACAGAGTGTAGTCTACGGCCATACCACCCTGAACGCGCCCGATCTCGTCAGAATACAGAGTGTAGATTAATACATAATTAACTAGAATGATAGCATGGAATTTCCTTAATTTGTATGTTTTAGCATATTTAACTCAATTGGTATCTATGTGTCATATTATATTTAGACTCCCTGTTCCTGGTTTCCAGGAAGCCACCCTAAATTACATTTTTTTCTTCTTCTAGAGCTGTTTCTGCTGACATGATAACAATACAAGGAATAGAACAGACTGCTTTGGAAGCTGGTTATGATGCACAGAAGCTGGGACAACAGCCTTTATATGTGAATTCACAATTGTGGAAAAGGATGGTAGAGAAATTCTTGAAGGGAGAACCCAAAATCCTAGGGGTATGTTGATTTTGAGAGAATAACAGTGTTATAAATTCTCAGATGACCAATGTAACATGAACCATAGTGTCCTGCTAGCCTTTTAATGCATTGAATGGTCTTGGAGTTCTTAGTGTTTCATTTGTAGAACTTAGATTCTCAAAAAAGTAACATTATATTCTATTAACTTATATTCTCATTGTAAATCTGTCTAGAAGCCAGCAAGCAATACCCATGTCATATGCTGAATGTATGTTGTCTTTTCTTCACCAAGTTAACTATCCTATTGTGTGTGTGTGTGTGTGTGTGTGTGTGTGTGTGTGTGTGTGTGTGTGTGTGTGTATATATATATATATATATATATATATATATATATATATATATATATATCCTCACTCAAAATCTCAGGACATAGAGAAGTTACACATACATTTTCCCCAATATCTAACACATGAGACTTCTAGTCCAACCTCCAATACCATAGGCCAAACCTCATAAGCTAGGTCTTCACTCTATGTTACTGTCAGTGTTCTTGTCTTCTAAGAGCCTATATGAACCATCAATTAAGATATATGTACATAATGCTTTAGGCTTTCCAAATTCCTCCCATAAGCCAGTTCCAAAGGGAAATACTGCCATGGCCAGGTTTAATCACTTCTCTGGTATCAATTTTGTGTGTTATTTTTGCATCACTATGACATGTGTCACTAGAAAAGCAACTTCAAGCATAAATGATTTGTTTTGATTGTGGTTTCTGTGGCTCAGTCCACAGTTGTGACACCCCACCTCTTGACTCAAACATCCTGACTGCAGAGCATATGACAACTTGTTTATCTGTTGGTATACAAGAACATTATGGAGACACAGGTAAAGGCAAGGATGAATTCTACCCTTAACCACTTGGACCCAACCATCAGTGAGTGATCTACTTCTAAGTAATCCTTCCCTATAAAATTTCCAGAACTTACCAAAATAGCACCCCCTTCTGGGAAATGAAGAATTTAACACATAAGCCTGTGGGAGACATTTCATATTCAGTGCATAGTTTCAGCACTAATATCCTCCTTGCTGTCCTAGTCAGGATTTCTATTGCTGTGACAAAACATCATGACCAAAAAGCAAGTTGGGGAGGAAAGGGTTTATGTGTCTTACACTTCCACAAAATAGTCTATCACAGAAGGAAGCCAGGGCAGGAACATAAACAGTGCAGGGACCTGGAGGAGGGATTTGATGTGGAGGCTATGGAGGGTGCTGCTTACTGGCTTGCTCTCCATGGCTTGCTCAGCCTGCTTTCTTGTAGAACTCAGGATATTCATCACAGGTATGGCATCACCACAAAGGGCTGGGCCCTTTCCCATCAATCACTAATTAAAACAATTCTCTATAGGCTGGCCCACAGCCCAATCTTATGGAGGCATTTCCTCAGTCAAGGTTTTTCTCCTCCTCGTTATCTATAGCTTGTGTCAAGAAGACATAAATCTAGCCATCACACTTGCCTTTTAAAGTTTCCATTGCCCCAACATTGCCATGCTGGGAACAGTTTCTTGTGGCTGAACCTCTCTGGTACTAACTTAATCCGAACCCTGGCATTTTGCAAAACTGTATTTAGTTTCCAAATAAGATGCCTGATTGCCCACCCTTCATGTGCCATCTTGAGTATTTCAAACAGGAGTAATAAGAGTTCCTGTGGCTTCACAACTGCTATGTACCCAACGTTGGCCTGGAACTCACTATGTAGTAACCCATGCCAAGTATCAGTTCAAGAGAACTATAACATAAATGACTGGGATTTTGAGTTTCATTAAATTTTTATGTGAAGGTGAGAATTGTTATTTTTTATAGTATTGTCTTTTTATCAGTTAGCATGGAATCTAGTATCTCCTCACTCTTTGGTAACCTATGTCATCAGAGGTTTACATTTTTACACACAAACACACACATACACACACACACTTTGTCAGATTTACACAAAACAAATTTCCCTAATCTTTATTATTTGACACCTTTATATACTTGTATGATGAATTTTAGTCATTTTTATTTTTCCTTTATTTTTGAGATTATAATTACATCATTTCCCTTTTCTTTTCCCCCTCCAAATCATATATCCCTTCTTGCTCTCTTTCAAATTCATGGCCTCTTTTTCACTGATTGTTGTTACATGCATATATGTATATAAACATATATTCCTAATATATGAACTGCTCAGTATGAATGTTACATGTATGTATATTCTCAGGGTTGACCATTTGGTATTAGATAACCAATACGCCAGGAAGACTAATTTTCTTTTGATGTCCATTGATCTCCTCACTCCATTTTATTGATTATTTTGTTATTTGACTAAAGAGGGAGTGAACTCTGTGCTCAAGTCAGACTTATTAACAAGTGCCAATCAATAAAGTACACTCACAATACAGAATGAAGCTGCTGCCACTGCAGATCCAGCAGATAGGCCTTCACAGTTTGCTCCACCTCTGCCCATTCCAAAAGGTGATGAAAACCATGTGGGTTCCTATGGCTCACTGCCAGCTCACCCACACCCAAGAGAGTAACTTTCACCCCCCTCACCTTTTATTTGGGTATTTGGGTCACATACCCCCAAAGAAGACCACACCCAATACAATTTGCTGTCAAATTCCCACAACACTGACAGCTTTATACAAATGTCTTACCCTTTTTCCTATCAACTCCATCTCCCATCTAACCCATCCAATCCGATTCCTAGGGCTGTGTCTTCTACAACCCCTTGTGTTTAAGCCATACCATATGACTCACGCATATGGCTTGAATCTGCTACTGGGTGATCTCAGCCTCTTTTTTTCTTACCTAGTCTGATTAACAGATATTAGATTTTTATTGCATCTCTTCAGTGAAAGATATAACTGTAGATTTTGTTTTCATCTATTGTCCTTATCTTCACTTACCATGTCTGCATAGTAAGTAACACAGATGAAATGGAGAACTCTTTGAAAACACTATGTGCCAAAACTCAAAACGAAACAAAACCCCCAGAAAAATCTGAATGGGCTGATTTCATCAAATGAAATAAATTAAAAATTCGTAATATTCTAAAATAGAAAGCATTGGATGCAGAAGATGTCTGAGATGAATCCTATCAAATGCTTGATTTCCTTTCTAAAATTCATTTTGCTTCTTGATTTGCTTTTCTTTCCTCAGTTTCCAAAGATGAACACTTAGGTAGTTAATTTTAGATTTGTTATTTTTTAAAAAAACACATACATTGTTGCAATATACAATCTTCCTTATTTTTTTAAATGTGTAGCCTAGGCTGACCTCAAACTTGTGATCCTCCTGCCTCCACCTCCTTCAGCAAATACTACCAGCATGTACCACCACAATTGGTGTAATATACATTCTCACTGCTGTGTATTCCCTTTCTTTAATCCCCCAAGTTTCTATAATTTTCCATTCTTTTTGTATCCCAGTGTAGTGAAACTATCTGTTACACAGGACCCATACTTTAAAAACAGGGTTTTTTTTTAATTTGGTGTGTGTGTGTGTGTGTGTGTGTGTGTGTGTGTGTGTGTGTGTGTGTGTGTGTGTGTCTCATAGAAACCAGAAGAGGGCACCAGGTTCCCATAAACTAGTTACTGGTAGTTCTGAGCCTTCAGTTGTGGGTGCTGGGAACAGAGCTCTGTTCCTCTGCAAGAGCAGTGTGTACCCTTAACTGTTGAGCCACCTCTCCAGTCCTGGATTCTCCCATTTTTCAGAGTACCTTATTAACATTTTCCCCCTCAGATCCCACATGACAGAGACAAGGCTCTATTTACTCTTCTCTAGGTATTTTTCTTCAAGTTACTTCTTCTGGTTAAAGTCACTATTTATTAATTCCTGGGTCACCCTCATCTGAGCTTATGACTAAGGAGAGCAGCTATGGCAGTAGCACCTTGAGTTTCAGAAAATGCGTCTTGAAAAAAGGCTTGGTAATGTCCCTTCTATCTTTAAAATTACTAGCATAATGATAGACTTTCTGTGGGGAAATTTTGACAAGTTATTATATCCACAGCTACATGGACAAAAGTGCCAAGAGAAGGTTATCCAGAACGGCATCTAAGTGTATCAGAGATGGAGATTGAGAGTAGCTCAGTGGTTGTATAAGTGTCAACACGGGCACACTATTTTGGCAAATGGTCTGTTCTCATTTCTTTGCTGTCACATCTAGGTTGTGCAGATTGTGATTGCCTTCATGAACCTCGCCATAGGCATCATGATGATAAGTGCTACTGTAACATACGGTGAAGTACTCCCTGTTTCAGTGTACATAGGGTACCCAATTTGGGGGTCTCTGATGGTGAGTTGCATATCTTATATTATAAATGGGTCTAACATACATTGTTTTTAAGATTCTGAACTTAATTATTAATTTATTAGGGGTATCTTATCCCTTTTTATTCAATTATTTTAAGAATAGATGCTAGAATACTTATATATACTACACTGTACTTATATCTGCCCCCTCACCACCCTCTCTTATCCCTCTCCCAAAACTACCAACTACCTTCCCCTAGTCTTCTACCTTCTTTCTGTCTTTTCTCTTTCTCTCTGTCTCACTCTTGCTTTCTCCCTCTCTTCCTCTCTCTCTTTTGTTCTTTTTCCTAGGACCTGTATAAAACTCACAGATTCTATGTGTTCATGATTGCAATAGCCATATTGTATTCAGAAGACTATACTCCATCACACTCTTTCCTGTTCTTTAGCTCCCACAGTCCTTCCATTCAGTCTTCTGTGATGTACTCACACTCTCTCTCTCTTTCTCTCTGTGCATCTTTGTCTCTGTTCTCTCTGTCTCTCTGTCACTCTGTATGCATGTGTATATGTGTTGGGATGTGTGCACGCATACACACACACACACACACACACACACACACACGTACATAACATAAATGTCCATTTAGGGAACCAAGCATTCAATAGTCACTTATTCTTAGCACATTGGTCAGTTTGAGTACTTTCCTTGACCATCCTTCCCTGGGGAAAGAAGTTTCTATGATCAGGGCTGAGAATAGTGAAGATTGTTTATGCTATCCTTGTATCTACTGTGTGTGGCGTCTTCAGCTATATAGGCACTTACTGATTAATTCTGGTGGATATCCAAAAACAATGACAGTAGACTGTATTGTTTTGGAAGCTTCTGTGGGCTCCTTGGCCAACAACCTATGAAATCCTATCTTATCTAGTATTTCTACAACTTTGCAGAAAAATGTCTTAAAATTTCCATTGATTCATATATAATATTAAATGCCTCAGGTAGTTAAAAAATTTAATATATATCAATGAAGATATATTGCAATAGTATGTTACCATGAACTCAAATCAGAATAAATTGGGCATGTGTTAACATTAATTTCTTGTGGCTTATCCTTTCTGGTGTTGTTTAGTTCAGTTGTATAAACTACTCAATTGCTGGTAGATCAATCTGACTTATTAACATATCTCACTTCTCACAGATATTTTCAATGCAAATGCATATTTTCAAGACAAGGGTGATAAGGCTGAAGGGTTTGTTATCATTAACTTGTACCAATTGTGATTCACTTTCATAGTTTGCCCTTCTGTGAAACTCATAGGAGAAATAACAAAATGAATGGAATATTTTCCCATGTGCCTTACCGAGAGCTTAGTCATTTATACTAGTTTTCAGTGATAGTCTTAGGTGTTGGTGCTATAAATTATATTAATATCTAAATACTTATTTTAATAATCACATTCAAGTGTATTTCTCAAATAAGCATGTGAGTTCATACTACAGTATCCATTATCTTGCTTTTGTTTATTTTCATTTAGTACCAAGGATACAAAATAGTGGGCATCATGATATTTGTACACATGAATACCATTGTCTATTGCTCATGTTCACCACCATACCTTTTGCAGCCTTGCCTCATAATTGGAAAACTTCTTTCTAGGTCTTACCAATTAAAAAGACAATACAATCCAGCAACACGTGATAAGGAGGGAACAAGCCTTTAATACAGAGGCCTTTGGGAGACACTCAAAATCAAACAGTGTACCATTTGGGAGCTCATCGCATGTACTTGTATTTTAGATGTTGTGACAACAGTTTACCTCCCACAAACTGTTGATTTCATTTACATGGATTAGCTAACATCCTGACTTTAGAAATGTGTTGAAGAATAAGTTCTTCCAAACTATTTTATTAGTTTCCTCATTTCAGATTGAAGACAATATATTAAAATGTAAAAATAAAATGTGGAAAGCTACCTTAGAAACCTATATAGGAGAACTGTGAAATTAGGTGAGTCCAAATGTTGACACTAAACATTTCAGGCAAACTGAAATACTTGCCAAGTTAAAAAAAAAAAAAAAAAAAAAAACAGCGAACCTAAAAATTATGCTGGGCATCGACCCTTAAACAGTTATTTTTTCCTCGGCTACTTTTATATTAAATTTTTATTATATTTTTGAAAACCAAGGTCAATTTTAACAGTTTTAGAAGAAAAATCCCTGGGAAGACAAGCTGTAGATCCCAGAAGTTGCTGAGAAGAGACCAGGAGAGGAAATAAGAACTTAGGCCACCCAAGTTGGCATGGGTGTCAGCCATGTAGTGCCAAGCAGCAACATGGTGGAAGGGACATTTTAGAGAAAAAGCAATGAAGCCCAAAGTAGCAAATGAAAAGGATTCTTGGGCTCTGGCCAACATACACAACAGAGGCTAAAAAGAAGAAAAACATAGTTACATCTTTTCTAAGTCAGGACTCAGACAGGTGGACAGACATAGTTGAACTACATGCTGCCTCTTTGGAACAGCACTGGGAAGGCCAGGATTCTGGAAAAGCAAAGCACAGTATGTCATTAAATGGATAATTCTTTCTCCTATCTCTTAAGCATGATTTAAGTTGAGTCTAAGCTCCTGGGTAGTGTTTCTCTGGCTAGATGACTCACCAAGCAAACTGGACTGGAGTAGCTATTTTAAATGAGAATAACATTTAGTTTCTTTCTTAGTTTAATAAACCCCTAAATTTTGCTGCCATGTGAATAGTAATTTACTTTATAAATTTATAAATTTATGCCTGAGGGTTCATAAACAGTCTTAATAGCAATTTTGGTATGTCTGTATGTGTGAGAGAGCGTGTGTGTTTATAGTTAAAAATTATTGGGAAGAAGAGCTTCAGTGGAAAAGAAGAAAAGAGAGAGGAAAATGGGGTGAGAAGGCCAAAACGACCATTACTTAATACATACATGGATAAAACTGTCAAAGAATTGAAAACATTGATGAATTGTACTAGCCACCTGTCTGGTAGAATTCTTCTGTTTTCTAGGAAAAGGGGAAAACTTCCTTAACTTTTGTGGCTCTTTTAAGATAGTCAATCTGTTTCACATATGTTATCTAATTTAGGAGTAGGCTTCAATATAATTTTCAATAATGTATAAAGCATTTTAACCTGGATTTTACCTCTTATTTCTAGTTTATTATTTCAGGATCATTCTCCATTGTAGCAGGAAGAAGAACTACAAAAGGCTTGGTGAGATTTTTGTAAGTTATTTTAGTATAAAAAGAGGAGGGGTATTACTGAAGTATCTGTTCTGCCAGGATTGAAAAGAACAAAACACAAACAAAACCCTTACTCTCTAAGAAACAAAGGAGGATGGTCTGCATTACATCTAGAAGAATCTGCCTCTTAAAATTTTTAGTCAAAACATTAGCTAAGTCCTGACATGAGGTTGAATATTGTGTCAGTGAACTGCAGAGAGAATCTCGGTACAGATGCAGAGATTCAGGAGAACAAAAGTCAAGGAAGATGAATTAATTCTACCTTGAAGTTTACTATCCACGCCCATTAGCATGGCACTAAACATTTTAGTAACATAGCATTTATTGACCGATTGATCAAAATGTGTGTTCCAATTGTATACAGAAAAGATTTTGAATATTCAATAAAACAAATTCACAATGTGTTATTTCTCAGGAAGAGACAATTTCTAAAATATAACATGACAGGATATCTGTCACAAAGCCAAAAACGGGCTCCAAACCAAGATCTCAACAAGCTTGACACTAGCTAGGACCACATTTGCATTATCTCTACTCAAAAGAGGTACATCACTAGAGTGTGTTTAATACATTTCCAAATCTGTGCCCCAGCACGTCTTGTAGCTAGACCATTAGTACATATCTACCATGCTACATTCTCACCAAACCACTCACACTTCCCTGGGAAGATTTGCTTCTTATGAAATGCTGCTGTACTTTCAATACTGGAAAAGAATTGCAGATATGAATAACAGAGAAGGAAATGTGCAAAGGGGGCAGGGCAACAGAAGCCCAGCAGCATTAATCCAAGCAGAAGTCAGACAACCTTGTAGCACAGAATGGTAAGGGACCACACATAGAGATATTCTTCAGCTGGAGTATAATAGACAGCTCAGGGAGACAGCTCAACCGTTAAAGGTATCAAGCTTGACAATCTGAGTTTGAGCTGCAGGACACACAGGTGGCTATCTGGCCTGTGCAGATTTAGAAATTAGAAGAGATGTCCTTACCCCAATATGGAGGGAGGAGAGAGTAACCTCCCAAAAGTTCTTTGACCTTTGCAGGCACATCCAAATAAGTAAATAAACTTATTTTTAATAAGTATAATAGTTTTGAAATCCCTGGTAGGAGAAATTTGGAGTATGCTTCATCTGTCTGTAGGGGTAATCTGCAAGATTTAATTGTAGAATTGACTTTCACATTTTTGTTTTGACAAGAGATTTGAGCTGAAAAATAATGGTAGAGATGAATTGGGATACTTTTGAATTAGTCAAAACAATGAGGATGAAATGTGTAAGGAAAGAATTGAAGAGTTTAAAGTGATGGGTGGAGATAGACTTGAGGATATCGGAGAATATTGTTTTAATCAATTTTATTCTTTCTAGGTTCGAAGTAGCCTAGGCTTGAACATCACCAGTTCTGTGTTTGCCTTCTCTGGGATCGTAATCAGTTCACTGAGCCCAAGCATTTATTCTTTCCATTTCTATTACTGTACATATAGAAGCACTTCAGAAAGCTGCCAGATGACCATGCCCATTTTAATGGTTAGTACTTTCTGTTTTCATGGAATTATTGTTGAAGCTTGCTGCCTCAACCAAACCAAGAGTAATACTCCTTGATCACCTTTAGAAATTAGAAACACATCCCCCATGGAGGGATACTCCCTTAACCTAGCGACAGGAAAGAAGTCCTAGTCCCTACTTCAAATGGCTAGACAGATTTAGATGACCCCTTCTGGATAGCATCACCCTACATGTGGAGTGTGGGTGGTAGGGAGGGGAGGGTGGTCATAGTAGTGCATGTTGGGGGGGAGATAGGGAAAGAAGAAGGGAGGAAGGGAGGAAAGGAGGGACAAACCGAAAAAAAAAGAAATTAGAAACCATAGGGAAATAGGTCAAGCCTTATTTAGGAATGAGAGATACAGTGAGATCAAAAGAGAAGAAAATGCAGGCAAATATAGAGAATCAACATTTTCAGTTCTTATGCAGAATAAACTGCATTGTCCATTTTATTCCAAGTTAAAGTTCATGAATATTGGGCCCTATTTATTTGAATCAACACAATTGCATGAAGAGCATTGATAACTAATTATCCCCCTTGAACATTCTAAAAGTCTTTATAGTAAGTGTTTCAATCTCTAGGCACTCAACCAAAATGAGATACAAATATATAGTGGATGGAACAGTTTTCCAAAGTCACTCAGAACTTGGCGAAGATAAGTTCTGGAATTTCCTTCCTATACTTTACCTATTATATGTAGTTAATATAATTAAGGATCTTGCTTGCTATTTATGAAGGCCTGTTACCTCATAGACATCCAGGATGCAATGATATGAACACAGCTCTAGGATTGAAAGCTGTGTAAGGCAGCTTTCTTGGTCATGGAGCCTGTGACCGCACACAATACTTCTTCCTTAAAAGAGTTCTGTGCTTGCTGTAAGCTCTGCAGCTGCTTTCTTCACATTGTACAATGGAATCCTCTTTCATCTATATGAGCCATCTTCTTGTTAAGTTCACGAAGTCTTCTGAATTGTGTGAGTTTTTTTTTTTTTTTTAATTCGTGCTTCATCTTATGTCAGCGTGTTGGAGTCCAGCTCTGGATGAGGGCAGGGTCTGAAGATGGGTGGATTCAAGAATACTGACAGGATGAATCAGACACAGAACACTTCTTAGTTTCATTTTAGGAGAGATGGGCAGAGAGGGAGCTCATCTCAGATGGAGACTCAGGTCCCAGCAGGGGATGTAAGGAGTAGGCAAGGGAGAGAGGGAGCCAGACCATGGTGGTAGGGAGAATCTCACAGCCTGCCTGTCTAGCAGCCAGAGTGCATGTTTAATTTTGCAGAGTTTAGTAAGTAAGGATACATTCATGTTTCAAAACATAGATCATATATCATTTTTGTTTTGGATATTTTTGCTTTTGTTTTACTTCTTTTTGTTCATTAAGAAACTATGACAGAAGAGTTATCAGTTCTAATCATTTTCCCTCAAGTTTTGACATCATTGATAAAGAGTTATCTTTTATAATAATTCTTACTCATTAAGCCCATAACCCAATTATTAAGAATCTAGAGGCAAATGACAGCCTGATCTTGGGCTGGTAGCTTTTATGGCTACAAGGACATTAGACCAAAACAATCTCCAAGCCATCCTGGGCATACTGCCATGTCCCAAGCAGTGTATTATTAACTCTTAATGGTCAGAGTGCCCAAGAAATATCCTCAGGCCAAAGTTGCTGCAGTTATTATTCAGATTCTGGTTAATACAATGTTAACACTTTACATATTTATAGAATTTGTCTATATATCTAATCCTGGCATTCTTTTGTTTCTTGGTCATATGACACACAATGGCTTTGCATGTACTAACTTTTCTAAGAAACAGAGGACCTTTCAACTCATTCTTTTACCATCTTTCCACTCCATACTTTGCTCACTAATACAAGTCTCTGTGTAGGGCTGAGGTAACTTAAGCTAATCTAACTTTGTTGCTGTAAATGCCACATACTCACCTGAGTGTAAGCAAGAAGAGGCTTGCAATCTGAACTGTGGTCAACTCCACTAGCCCACAAAATCGTGTTGATTTTTGAATTTATTTTGTTTTGAATATCTTGTTCCTGCATAAATACAAGGACAGATGTTTCAAGTGTGTCTCATAGCCTCATAAAGAGACCTCTGACTTCTTTATGTGTGTGTCACAACCTCTAAGTCATAAGGAAGACCTTCAAGTAGATAAGGAGATCTCCCTAAAGCAGAGGAAATTGTATGTTTAGGACTTTCCAGGGGAAGTTTAAAAGCAGTACTCCAGGGAGAAGGCATAAATGATTCATAAGAAATTTTCCATCAATCCAATACCCCCAAATTGTACAAATACTAAGTCACTCAAATATACAACAGGTGGAGATGGAAACCAAAGGTGGCATTGTTAGGATTCAGGCATTATGTTGGCCTGCCCCTGTCACCTGGCAGAATGCACTCAGGCAATACCCTAGTCAGCATGCAGATGCAAAGGACCCCTTTAAAACAAAGACCCCCCCAACCACTTACTCATTCTTCCCCCTCTCTTTCCCACTCTGTTTCCTACTATTCCCCTGGGGCAGACAGGACTTTTCCTGTCTTCCTCTTCTCTTCTGTCCTCTCTCTGTGTCTCTTTACCTCTTTTCTCTTTCCTCCCCTTCTTCCCATTTCTAATAAAACCTTTCACTAAGTTCTGTTTACCTGGCTTGTTTATCCCCCACCTGGTCACCCTTGCTTGCCCTGCAATCCACCAAGGTTATCCACATTTATCCTACCAGTCATGACAGCCATCATGTGCTCAGCTTCGATGGATCTTTGTCAAACAGCTGTGCTGGCCTTATGACTTTTGCTGTTCCCATCAGATATGGCTGTGCCATCAGAGGACCTCAATAAGGAAGGGCCTCATTAATCTTGAAGTGTCAAGTATGTTCCTATCTGGGAACCAGTGGTATTATTTCACAGACCTTGAAGCACTTGCACGCACACACGCACACATGTACACACACACACACACACACACACACACACACACACACAAACAAACACTTTTTATGTGTGTTATACATGAATACACATAAGCATATTCTCATGAATGTCTCTATGTATGCCTGTGTGTGCCTTTCTCTCTCTCTGTATCTCTCTGTCTCTGTCTCTCTCTCTCTCTCTCTCTGTGTGTGTGTGTGTGTGTGTGTGTATGCCAAAGACTGTCATTAGATGCCATTCTTAATTGCTCTTCACTTTGAGGCATGGTCTCTCATTTTAACCCACAGCTCTCAGATTTACTTGTTTAGCTATTCTTTTTATTCTAAGAATCCCCTGCCTGCATGTGGGGATTGAATACATGCCATCATGCCCATCTGGCATTTGTGGGGTGCTATGAATCTAACCTATCCTCATCATGCTTCCATAGAAAGCATTTCACCAGATAAGCCATCTTCCAAGTCTCTGGAGCACATAATTTATTAAAAATCTTAGGGTTAGAACTAGCAAAGTTAAGAAACAGCTCTCTTAGTTCAAGAAGCTCTCATCTTGTGAAAAAAAAAGATACATTAAGAAGGATGAAATTATAAACAAAATGGTCAGATAAAGAGATTTCCTTGTAAGAGAGAACAGGTAGAGGTCATACTGTGTGTAATAACTGGACTATACCACATGAAATTATTAGGGACCAGCTACAGATGTTGAAAGGCAAGTTTCACAGGGCCTAAGCTAATGCATGTGCTTCAAAAAGTGACAGAATATGCAGAGTTTAGAAAGCCAAGAACTGGCTCAAGATCAGGCTGTGCCAGGAGCTGTGTCCCTAGGCTCTTGGGCAGTTATCCCACTCACTCTTTCAGCGTAGAAATGGTTGGAATGTGTGAGGCCCACTCCTCACACGCTCGCATTGTGATTTGCTGACAGGGTCTGGATATTGTGGTGGTCATCTTGAGTGTGCTGGAGTTCTGCATTGGGGTGTCTCTCTCTGCCTTTGGATGCAGAGTAATGTGCTGTAACCCTGGTGGGGTAAGTTTTGGCTCTCATTCGAATGTGTCTCTTCATGTTTTCTGTCACTCTGTAATAAGTCACATAAACACAAAAGCTGAACACAATTCTCATTCATCACCTCTCAGCTCCCTTTGGTGGAGTATGGGCACAGCTTACCTGAGTTTTCTATTCAAGGACTTACAAGCTCATGTTTGTGCAGTTGGAAGCTCTGTGGGATCCTCTGAACTGTCAAAGCTTCAAGCTTCTCTTATATAGTCACATGGCACAATTCATACGCTCTTTAGTATAGAAAGTAGGACAGTGCACTTCTTTGAAGATGCCAAGGGAACGGATGTCTTGAGTTCTTTCTGCTTACACAAGTTGAAAGGTTCATCTAGAATATTGTTAATTAACTCTAAGTCAACTGATATATGGCCTACTCATTCGAATGATTTTCTGTGCTAGTCTCATGTCTCATCCACACTTGAGGAGAGGGTCACTGAGAGACATCCAAGATCTTTGTTTTACATAGTACAGCTTTACCATTCTTTTCCTTGCAAGTGACATTCCCTTAGAGTCTGGACCAGAGAACACTTCACATCTTAGAAGCCCACAGAGGGTACCAGATTTACTCCACTCTTATCATAGCATCCTTCCCTGACTATAAAGAAACACTGGAGTCAAGACCTCTCTGTCACTTGGTATCCACCTGGGCATTGGCTTACCCTGATGCTTGTAGCAAAACCTTCTGGCTTTTGCTCAGAAAGATGATCTCAAATAGTGGATAAAGGGAGCAGAGACAGAAGTAAACAAGGACAAGAGTATGACCTTTGTGTTCTTTAAGTACTGAGGCTCTAAAGTGAGTTAGTAGCTACTAAAACCCTACAGCTGCTCACTAGTCTCATTGCCCACAGGCCCAGCGATGGTTAGGGCTCCCAGCCAATAATAAGGTGATAATAAAATGATAAGATCACTGGGTACTCATCTATATCTTTTTGGGAAACACCACATCTTCATCTCCACAGGCTCTGCCTAAAGAGCACTGGGCTAGATTACAGAGAATTGTATGATGGGTTTGCAATTTCAGGTCCTAGAAGTATATGTTTCTTTGGTATCACTGAAGATTTTAAGATTTCAGTGAGTGACGAAGCATTTTTGGATAGGTAAATTCCTTCATACCTTTCAGGCCTTAGTACTTGTTTTTTGGAAATCTGTGCTTGTTGTGAATGCTGTAACAGTAGTAATCTGGAAAGCATTGCCCCCAAGCTCTCTGAGTCTGGACTTGTAATGGCAAGTAACATATAATGACAGTCTAATAATCTCTGGGATCTTCAGCTATTCCTAGAAAATTCTATGTCACACGACTTTGCAGAACAAGGATAAGACTTGTTCATTCTTTCAGCATGCTTCCTGACACTCTGGGCCAGTCCAGATATCACAGTGCTTTATGTATGGCAACCAAGTCATCCTGCTGCCATCAGCACTGGCAAATTAGTTTGGGGAAAAAGATCTGTATTTTTCTTTCTTTCTTTCTTTCTTTCTTTCTTTCTTTCTTTCTTTCTTTCTTCTTTCTCCCTCCCTCCCTTCTTCTCTCCCTCCCTCCCTCCCTCTCTCTCTCTCCCTCTCTCTCTCTCTTCCTTTCTTTCTTTCTTTCTTTCTTTTTCTTTTGGTTTTTGCTTTGGAGCCTGTCCTGGAACTAGCTCTGTAGAACAGTCTCTATCTCATAGAGATCCACCTGCCTCTGCCTCCCAAGTGCTGGGATTAAAGGTGTGCACCACCAACGCCTGGCTGAGCTCTGTGTTTACTATAAAACGCCATTTTAAGCAAATTCATGGGGACTTTCACTTACATCTCATACTGTTCCACTCTAAGACTCAACAGTAGCCACAAGTTCCCAAAGGATAAAATTCTACAACTGAATATGTGTCCTAGGTATAGCCTGATCTAAGGGATACCTGAGAAGTCTATCAGATTGCTGTGAGGTTCAATTCTGTAGTGACAGGATGAGCATTGGTGATGGTGAAAATATGTGGGTAAAGAAAAGAATCCCTGGGGGGGGTCTGTGAGTAATGTAATAACATCTGATTGACTTTCTGATTGACTTTCCAGGTTGTGATAATTATGCCATCAAGTCCTCCCATGAAAGAAGCAGATTATTCTATATCAGTTTAAGGAGGTTTGATATCACCAGCACACCAAGAAAAAAAGTTTTCCAAGAAATCTGTGTTGATTTTTTTCAAGAACCACACATGGGGAAGAACAAGACTCCAACTCTGATGTGGATGCTTGTGTGTGCCCGTGTATGTGTGTGTTTCCAATGACATTCTCATATTTCCCCAGGAACATGACAGATCATTCCACTGGATTTTCGTAATATTATCATAAAATAATAAATATACCACCCATGTACTAGCTAAATAGCATTTGAACATGTTTTATTCATACTTTAGACAATCTAAAAGTGCTTTAAGTCAGCAAAGTAGGTTTTAAAGTAAATGGGTGAAATGATTTTAATCACATTAGATTTTCACACTGACTACACATTTCTGCTACTTTGTCTAATGCTCTTCCTGTTTGTCTAACTTTGGTGTTTGTTTTTTCAAAGCAACAGATTTTAGGATTTTTTTTTAACTTCATGAAGTGCAGAAATATGACTTTTGCTGCTTCTTCTTTTCCTGCTTCTTTTGAATGCCATAAAAATGTAGCACAGAATAGCAAGGCCAATGTATGCCTATGTCCACGTGAGTGTACATGAAGACATGTAAATAAGACTCAATTTATTTTATCTCCCCCTCCCTTGACTTCCTACTAAGCAGGAAGATACCTAATTAAACTCCTGTCTGATGCCTTATATGTCAGAATATTACTAGGTATGTTTATTAGATATGTATTAAATGTGTTTTATTTTTTTTTATTACCAAACAAACAGGTTAGAAACCATTGTATCCATGTGCTACCTACTACATTCAGATGTAATATTAGAGAAAATAATCTAAGGTATAAGGTCAGGAAATATAGAAAAATGGAATAGAATGGGGGGGGCTTCTTGGTACATCACACCATAAGTTTTCATCTTTCTCACTTGTGCCCATGAAAACAACAGAAATCTCCCTGTGCCTCACATCTCTTCATGAGATGACTAAGAGCCTAGACCACTGACCTGTAGTAATTTTTTTAACTTAGTCATACATTTAATAAAAAATAAGAACTATGAAGTTCTAGATATAAAAACACACAGATTAATGCATTTTTTAAAGGTCAGGAGCAATACTGAAATGCCACGAGTTTATTTTTCACCACTCTTATATACCTTAACCAAAAGGGGAACACAGTATCATCTATATGGAACAAACAGACTTTTCCTCCCCACTTATTCTAAGGGTTCAGTAACCAGACCTTAGCTCTAAACTTCTTGTTCCCTAGCCTTGAAGTCAGGAGTAGCCACATCTCAGATTCAGGTCTGTTGTTATTTAGACTAAGATGGCCAAAACATCCTTCTGTAGCCACACCTTTGACCTTTAGGGCTTGTGACTTGCTGACAGCTTTGAACTCTGTCCTTGTGCCAAGATGGAGTGCAGCCATTGATATGGGCACCCACAACTCCCCCCTTCTTAATATAATTAAAAAAAATACCTGTGCTTCTGCTGCAGGACTGATAACTGTGTCTGTCTTAGGTAGTCTTCAACGTTCCAGCCTTACCAGTCATGGGAAGCACACATTCCGTCATGTATGTCCTGTCTTAGGTAGCTTGGAGGCAAAAAGACTTTACCTGTCTTGGAGAACTGAGGCAAAATGGAGTTTTCTAGACATGACAGGGCTGTAGCAGATAGCAACTGAGATTTCCTACTGAAGACCTACATGAGATCAACCTGTCAACATTCCAGCACAGATTGGGAAGAGCCACATGAGCCACCACCCACAACAAAGCTCTTAACAGCAACTGATGGCTGACAACAGAGGGAGAATTAGTTTTCCCCAGAGAGGAGCCCCTGATTGATTTCCCAATGCTAAGTGGTCAGGCCTGAACTCATATACATTCCAGAAACACTAAATGGACTTGACACATTATATTTATATATTAATACCATATTGTTACAAAATAATTATCAAAGAAAAGACAACATGAATTAGAGAGTGGGGGCAGCAAGAGGGTTGGAGAGAGATGTCATGGGAGGGATTGGGAGGAGAAAAGGAAAAATAATATAATTATATTTTAATTATAATATACATATGAATGAGTAAATAATATGTTCTGATATGAAAATCAAGTCAAGACCAAAAAAGTATATATCTTTCCAGGTAGTGGTGGTGCATGCCTTTAATCCCAGCACTCAGGAAGCAGGGACAGGTAAATGAATCTCAGTGAGTTTGAGACCAGCCTGGTCTGAAGCACAAGTTCCAGGGCAGCCCAGAGAAACCCTGTCTCAAACAAACAAACAGACAGAAAAACAGAGAGAGAGAGAGAGAGAGAGAGAGAGAGAGAGAGAGAGAGAGAGAGAGAGAGAGCTCTGGTGAAAACTGGACATCTATAATACTCTCCTTTAGGTCCAAGCACATAATCTGACCTGAACTGCCAGATCTAAGTAAGAAACCCTCATTATGGATTCAGCTGAGTGTACACATACAATTATACTGTGTGTGTTTCACAATAATTAAAGAAGTCTCAATTTGAGAGGGCATGGGAGGGACATGAGAAGACTTGGAGTGGGGATACAAAGGAATGGAAGTAATGCAAATACAGTATTGATGTGTGAAATGTAAAAAAAATTAATTTAGATTACAAAAAAAAAACTAAAATAGCCCCAAATGGTCATGGAATTCTTGGCAATCTGTAGTTTCAAAATACTAATAAAAGATATAATCTTACGGATTTCTGTATGAGTTTAGATTACAGATTTATGTTCTTAATGCCTGTGTCATTATTTCAGCCAATAGAAAAACTTATGCAGATGTTTTGTCAACCCTACAGAGGACACAGCTTTGCTAATACACCTACACATCAATTCTACTTTGAAATATCTTCATTCAACAACAAAAGGGGAGTTTCATGCACACTTAGCACATTGAAAATCTATATACACTGGAAAGCACAGTAACAGCAATGTGTAAATGTTTGCATATAGATTTTGAAAGACCATCTAAATGACATTAGTTTGAGTATGTTGTCTTTAAAATTGTATATTTGCTATATTTTTGTATTTCTGTTTTATTTAGTTTGGGTTTTGTTTTTTATTAATTATAATATACAAAATAATGGGCCATACAATGGTTTCATATATCACAGCATTTTGTTTATTTGACAGTGTTTTACAAAGAGTAAATTTTTACACTTATCACCACAATACACATTGTGAAAAAGAAAACCTGGTAGCAACTCTTTTTGATGTTATATTACAGTAGTATGCACACTCTAGTTGGGAAATAGAAAGTCAGTTAACTGTTTTTATAGAAAGAAAAAAGGAAGTAGCTGTGTTTTTTCAGAAATTCATACTGCAGCTTTTTTGATCTAGAAAGATGATAGAGCAGCATGCAAATTTCAGTTAAGTGTGGTGCTGCATGTAGTGTGGGCATGAGATCTGCACAAAGACTCTAGGTGTTTTCCAGGAGCCTGGCCTTCATCAGTCACAGACAACAGACATTTCAGGCTGGAAGAAGGTAGGTCCAGGGATTTGCCTTTCTAGACTTTCCACAGATGGCTTTTAATTTACTGGATGAAATATAGAATATCTAGATAAAAAAAATAGATCACCTTTCACTACACACACTAGTATTTTGATTTGGACTTGAGTGCACATTTGATTTGGACTTGGGGAGGCAGTTTTTAATGCAAAGAACAAGGACAAAGAAAAGACAAAGGCTTGGTAAAGTGGCAGCAATATTTTGTCCTCCAGGGTCTCTGGCCTCACCAGCCACAGGTAGGTGGCTAGGTTTACAGTACCAGGCATGAATTTCCTCCTATTGAGTAGTGTGTAAGGTCATTTGGACAGGCTATCCCCAAGGTATAAGTGCCACTATTGTACCCTTGAGGATATCTTGCCATGATCACTCTTAGATGAAGAGCTACAGACAATTACTGACTTGTTTGTTTGTTTCTTCGAAACAAACTGTGTAACAGTACTGACTGACCTGGAACTAATTTTGTAGACCAGGCTGCCCCTGCCTCTCAAGTACTGGGATTAAAGGCATGTGCCACCACCACCATGCCAATTGCTGGCTATTAAGAGTGGCAGAATCAGTCTTCTACAACAATGATCTCCCTGATGGCTTATTCACTCCTAGATGGTTATCCCTAAACAATATACATATGAGCATCACTAAATGGACCCCATAGGTTGTATGTTTATACATATATATAAATATATATATTATATATTGATATATTATATATAATCATGCAAATATAACAATAATAAATAAAAAAGAGGTCATGAACATGAAAGAGAGTGGAGGAACATGGGAAAAGTTGGAGGGAGGAGATCGTGGGGTGTAAATGATGCAAATATGGTACTCAAGTATGAAATTCTCAAAATAATAACATTTAATAAAGAAAGTAAAGGCTCCACCTGGGCACTGTGTGAGATTATTTTGTTTTCTATTCTTTCTCTAGTCCCAGAGTATCAAAAACCCAAAAGCAATATTGAAATTGTTGACTGATCATTTCACTTACTCTTAATAACTTTCTTCTATAATATTCATCTCTGCCTTCTGCATATATCTTGAAAATCCATCAGTTAAGACAGTATCAGTTCTATTCAGAATTTGCTGGAGATGCAGAGGATGGAGCATGAGCTCCCAGCCTGATGATATGCTTAGTCTGCTCCTGAGATGAACTGGACCTGAACTAGGTCTCCAAGCATCTCTGGTTTCCTTTACAGGAAGGACACAGGCAATGAGCTGAGGCCAGTGATGCAGATGTTTATCAATGGAAGACACTGGGCAGAGTTTTAGCAGTGTAAAGATCAGAAAGAAGCTTAGAAACAATTGTGCCCAATGCACTCTTTGACAGAAGCAATCAAAGTAATCCGGAGAATGTTAATAACCAGAAATTGACATCGTAATGTAAGAGCTACGTTATCAGATCTCATACTAGGCTTTTCTTTGCTCATGTGGAGATTTAGGCTTCTTTGTGTGTGTATGTTTTTTATTTAACAAAAGAGAGGCTCCCTCTTTAGATTCTTCTCTTTATTCTTCCTCTTTAGTAATTGACTCACAAGGTGAATGTTAACAGACAATCGAGGAAGTGAGCACACCCAGAGATCTGAAGGTATTTCTGAGGGCATGGCAAAGGAATTTTGTAAAAAGTAAATGAGTCGTGCATTGGAGCAGACTACACCCTTTACCTTGTGTTTCCTTAAGAACACCTTTGCCTTCTGGAGCATGTAAAGGAAGTACCAAAGGCTGTTTGAATCCCCTCTTGCATTGCAGGTTGAGTAGTATACAGGCAGGGAGAAGTTATAGCTGATGAAAACCAGAGACCCAGTGAGGAGTGGTGGATTTCTTTATCGTGGTGGAACAAATAGGGAGCTAGGGTTAAAACCTCCCAAAAATGAAGTCAACTTGTACAAATGCTCCAACAACTGATTTGAAAATGAAGTGCAAAATACTCATACCTATCTAAAAAATAACATATGAACATTCAGAATAAGGCCAAGAAAACAACAATAGAAGAGCTTCTCTTAGCAAGAGATTGAAACTATTTGTGTAAATTATCTAAGCTAAAAATTTTATTGTGTCATAGGAGGATTTAGTTTGGAGTTTGGCCTTAAGGCAGGAGCCTGGCATCGAGTCATTTCAAGGAGTTCATCCAAAATTTCACTCTTATTTCAGCACTGTTTCTGCTGCCATGACAACCTTGCAAGGAATAGAACAGACCACCATAGAGGTGGCCCCTGGAGGTGCTCAGACTTCGGAGAGGTCTATTGTAAGGTCACAGAAATGGAAAGAGAATGCAGAGAAATTCTTGAAGGGGGAACCCAAAGTCCTCGGGGTAAGACATTTATTGGATCTGAGGGGAGATGATATTGTAAATATCCAAATGGTTAAAAAATTTGAAAATCTAACACCAATACTCTGCCCCTTCAGCCCCATGGTCCATCAACACATCCCTGGACCACTAGCATTTGATTTTCAAATTTATCATTTGAAAATGGATATGTTAGTCTATTACATTAGACATAATTAAATTCAATTTAATTATGTTTAAAATACAGAAACTTCAGGAATGTTCTAGGCTGTGGATCATCCAAAATGATCATATCTAATTCAGCACAGACAAAAAGCTATGCAAACTGCTGCCATGGTCCAGCCCCAGGCCTGCCCACTGGCTGGTAAACTCATAGCATTCCTATATATTTGCAGTGCCTTTCTTTCTCCTGCTAGTCAGATGATGAGAAATCCTCTGTCTTCAGAAGAGTGTGCCTAAAAAAAAATAGAGAACTTCAAGGAATAACATCCTAGGCAGGTTAAAGGTCATTAAATGCAGAAGGTACTCACTCACTGGCCCAACCTTCCAACCACTGGGCAGCTGTCATTAGACAGACACCTGTTTCTTTTCTACTTCACTTGTAAATCTTAAAAAATGATCACTTTCATTATATATGTTTTATATTTACATAGAATTTGTATATTTTAAATATATCAATAAGAATTTTTAAATTTAGAGCAGTTTTACATTTATAGTAAAACTGAAGAAGACATAAAGGTACATATACACTTCCCAGTGCTATGAGCTTTGAGGTCGGTGCTTTGTGTTCTTCTATTAATTCCTTTAAATATTAATTAAAAGAAAACATAATGATATCTAGTGATATTAATTCTTTTCAATTGTTCTATCTTATGACATAAGACCATTCATAGTGGCTATTTCTTTTTCTGAGTTTTGGTATGTGGTATTCTCAGGTAATTTCTCTAAGTATATTGCATTTGTTGGCCTCTTATGGGTTTCCACAGTGCTATTGCCTCCACAATTTCTGATAGTGTTAATAATCTTGCTTAGCAAGTAATTGATTTTATCTATCTTTAAAGAAAAACAAACCTAGATTTTGTAAGTTTTCTACATTGATTCCCTGTTTTGAATTTTAGTGATTTTTCACTCCATTTTTATTCTTCCTTCTGATTAAAATCTTGTCTTTTTTGGGGGTTCCCACAAATTAAACTGGGAACTCAGTTTAGATCTGCCTTTTTTCACTTAAAAATGAATTAAAATATAATTATATGCTTTCTCTCCTCCCTTTTCTTCCACAAACCCTCTGATGCTCTCCACTCCTTTCCACATTCATATCTTTTCCTTTAAATATTATTGCTACAATATACATATATAATATATACATACATAAATATGTAAATGTGTTTTCCAGTCTCTTTTTATAGACCTATGCATTTCTTTCTATGCACTATTCTCATTTCCTCCCACACATCTTCATAAGTTGTTTTCATTTTCTCTAGTCTTTATTATTTAGATCACCATATTCACATTCCTTCCTCATGCTCCAACTTCCCATAGAAGATCATGTGTGCTATTCATATTTTTTTCACTCTGTATCTAATTTTGTTTCTTCAAGTTGCTTCTTGTTGAACTAATTTCTTCCTGAGTCTTTCATATGTAAGCATGTGACAAAGGATAAAACAGGAGTAGAGATGCATCATGGGTATTATAAAAGCACCTCTGGGAAGAATCCCCTCTAAGTTTGAAATTACTGAAACAAGTGTGGGGGGGATGTGCGTGTGTGTGTGTGTGTGTGTGTGTGTGTGTGTGTGTGTGTGTGTGTGTAAGAGAGAGAAAGAGAGAGACTCCAAGGGAAATTTTTATGTTAGTACATCCCATCTGCATATAAAATTATTAACAAGAGAATGCTACTTCAAAATTCATATGTGAATATTAAAGGTGGAGATGAAGTGAAGGTTTGATAGTACTTAGCATGAACAACATTTTTGTGGTGGATAACATTTCACTTTTTTGTGTCTAGGTTGTACAAGTTATGATTGGTCTCATAAACCTGAGCTTGGGTATGATAATGAAGAATAAAATTCATTCATTTCTACCTTTATCAGTGTACACATGGGCCCCAGTTTGGGGTTCAATCATGGTGAGTAACATTCCATCTTACATAACTGGAGATAATCACACTCTGTTGTGATTCCTTGGGTAGAATTCTCACTCTACTCTTTCAAGTAGTCTATTAAGTTTGAGAACAGTGTATCTAAACCTTATTCAGTTTTTTTCCTTTTTTCATGTTGCAATTTCAATATGCCATTCACATAAACTAGGTGAACTGTTTATTTAATACTGTGACAGCATGTACTCATATACTCCCACAAGAGTTGCTTCAGCATTGGCACAACTGATTTCACCAAGAGTCTAGAGGCTAGTCACTTCTAGGTCTGCTTATTTGGTAGCTCATTGTGATGATGGAGCACTTTGACATGTTGATGTATCTATTTCACTACTCATAAATGTTATATGAGTGTATTCTTGGGCCGAGTATAATTAGCTCGCATCTCGAATGTGGGGGAATTGAGGCTGACTTCTGTAGCTGGGAAAGGATCATGAAATAAGGGGTGAAATGAGGGTATTGTTAGCAAGGAAGCGGAGACAAGGCTGAGCATGTGATTAACAGCATCTGGCTTATCAACTCTAAGTAAATGCTTATCTTAAAAGAATAGGAAAACTAGACACATTTTAAATAAAATAACTGACTAAAAATTTGAATAAGAATTTTTTAAAGTTAAAAAATCTTTCTCTATAATAAAACCTGAGAGTTTTTTTCTTTTTAGAGTTCAGTGTCAAGTATGAAATATCAAACATTTTTTATCTATATATTATGAGCTGACAAGTGGAAAATAAAATGCATAAACTTGGCTATTTTATAATTGAGAATCCCGTTCAACTGTTATAAGGTTTCTATTTACTGATAAATGAGAAAATTTAATTATTTTGTAGACATAGCACTTTAATGCTCCTTTCCTATTTATAACACATGTTTAAGATTTGAGGAATGCGGGTTCCCCAGCTGTCAATCCAGAGTCCTTGAGCTCCCACTAGCTGGGATCGAACAGGTGTGGATGTGGATGACAGTTATGTGACTTGATCTTTTGGAGGAGGGGACAGTGGGACCAGGACTTATTCTGGGTACATGAAGTGACTTTTTGGAGCCCACTCCCTGTGGTGGAATATCTTGTTCAAACTTGATACATAGAGTAGGGATACAGTCCTGCTTCAACTTGGTATGCCAGAATTTGTTGATTCCCCAGAGGAGGCCTTACCCACTCTGAGGAGTGGATAGGAGGTGGGAAGGGAGAGGGGGGCAGGAGAAGGTGAGGAAGGGGAACTTGGGTTGCTATGTAAAATTTAAAAATTTTTAAATAAAAAACATATTTAAGGAATGCCACAAGCTCCCATACTTTCCAAAGTTGCACAGCACTTGACATATCATTAATAATATAAATTATTATGATAATAATAATACCATTCATAACACCAGTAATAGCTTTCATATGTTCATAATCTGAACATATTGCTAAATATTTTTGTATGTAATATTCTGCTGCAACCAATCACTGCAACTTTTGAGAGATTTGCTTTCATTATCATTGAATAAATGATGAAAATGAGACTAGGAAATGTTAATATACTCAAGATGTATTCAGTTCATGCATGAGGACTCATAATCTCATATATTTCCTCTGCAATGTTTTGTGCTTTCATCTGTATTTTCTATCCAATAAGATCTTGGAAACCAACTTCCATAGTTCATGATGAAAGATTGAACCCAAGGGCTCAATTTTTTCAAGGGTTCAGGCCTGCATGGGAAGCAACTGAAGCTTTATATTTATATATTGATTTTAATTTTAATGATGTGATCCCACTGATGCTCCCATTAATGTTTACATCTAGTAGCTGTTGGAAACAGAAGCAGACACCCACAGCTAAACACTGAGCCAAACTCCTGGAATCCAGTTGCAGAGAGGGAGGAATAATAAGAAAATGGGTCAAGACCAGGGTACAGAAACCCACAGAAACCATGACCTGGGGAGCTCATGGATCCCAGCCTGTTAGTTGGGAAATAAGCATTGAACTGACTCAGACCCCCTGAACATGGGTCTCAATTAGAAAGCCTGGGCAGTCTATGGGACCTCTGACAGTGGAACCAGGATGTATCCCTGGTGCATGAAAGGACTTGAACACATTCCCCATGGAGGGATACTCCCTTAGCCTAGAGACAGGAGGGAGGACCTAGTCCCTACTCCAAATGACTTGACAGATTTTGATGATCCCTCCTGGAAGGCATCACCTCAGTCTGGAGTGGGTGGGGAATGGGATGGGAGGGAGGTCAGGGAACATGGGAGGAAGGGAGGGAGAGGGAACTAGGATGGATATGTAAAATAAGAAAAAATAGGAATTAAAAAATAGTAATAAAAAATTGAAAAGCAAATGCAGACATCTGTATATTAAACTAAATAGTTTAAAGAGATCAATTCAATCAAATTTATAGCAGTCATTTAGAGGAAATTGAAAATAATTATCTAATATGCTTCATTATTCTAGTGACTGTCTAATATAGAATTTAATTTTTGCCATTATTTTATTTATAGCTTCCAATAGATATTTTCAACATGAATAATTTCTGTTCTGTTTTTGTCTGGGGGTCATGAGAGAAAAACCTTGTGATAAGGATTGGGGAGTTTTAGCCTTCATTGCTCTTAAAGAGCTCTGATAGGATGACAGTTACACAATTTAAAAAAGGAACCCTTGATTCTTCCATGGGCTCTTTTCAGCCTCTGTTCTTGTGGGTAAGGGTCTGTGACAATGGAAACTGCTTTTTAAGACAATTGATCATGTTAGTAGATCCAGTTGATTTAGAAGTAAATTTAGTATGCTATGGTTTATAATAATTATTTAAAAATATTTAACCTGAATTTCCCCTCTTATGACCAGTTCATACTCTCAGGATCCTTGTCGATTGCAGCAGGAGCGAGAACTACAGAGGACCTGGTATGTATTTTGTTTTATTTTGTCATAAAATGAGAATGATTTCATCAAGTATGCATTCTGCTTAGATATAAAAAGGGGTTGCTTCTATTTTCTTAAGATCAAGGCTATGAGATTTAGAAGGATCTGACCTACAAAGGTGTAGCTGGTTCATAACAGGTCTCATCTCATCTGTGTGGATATTGTGTCAAGGAAGTTGCTGGGAGAATCTTGATTCTGGTGAAGTGAATTCAGGAGAAGGAATGTCAAGTTGTGTTAGACAAGTGAACCTTTGAAGCTTCAGATCCATCTGAATGGTGACAATGACACCAAATATTTGCAGGAGCAAAAAATATCGCTGACAGGTTAAAATGGCTTCTGCAAATGTACCCAAAATAATATTTTTTTACAGAAAGATAATTACAGAGGCCATAGAGATAATTCGGTGGTTAAGAACACTTACTGCTCTTACAGAGGACCTGGATTTGATTCCAAGCATCTACAAGATGGCTCATAGACATCCAGTTCCAAGGAATCTGAAGTGTTCTTCTGACTTATGTGGGCAACAGGCATGTACATACATGCAGACAAAACATGCAGATAAACAACAAATGATTTTAAAAAGACATATATAATGGGATTTTTGTCAAAAATCGATAAAATGCAACAGCCAAGAGTTTAACAATTATTTCACTAGCTAAAAGCTGAATTTGAATTTCCCTTCCTACAACAGGTAAACATCAACTTCTGTAACATGATCAGGTGACCTTTCTATACCTGGGCTCCTACCTACCTCCTTAGCATCTTTAACCAGCTTTGACCATTAAAATGTACCTCATGTTAGGGACACAGAAAGTTTCAGTTTCCTGAGTGGTTTTACTTCTCATAGTAAAGCTTGTTTTACTGAACCACAGAAAGAGAACAGTGGAGACACATCTATAGCATAAAAGGAAATATGCAAGAAGCACATGGTCATGAGTGACTATCAGCATTACGCAAGGAGGACAGTCAGGCATTTATAGCAGAGTATGGTGGCAAATGACAGATGAGGCTTTCCAGATAATGTTTCAAAGACTGAAATTTTCCCTAGGGAATTTGATGAGCATCTTGTGTTCTTGAGAACCATCTGAGGGATTTAGTCTTAGGAATAACCATATAATGTTTTTACTTTGGCAAGGGATTGGAAGTAAAGATAACATAAGGAATGACACAGATTCTACTTTTGAAAAAAAAAAGAGGGTGAAATGCATTAATAAAGTCATGGTGTGTTTCAAATATAGATGGAGCTATATACCAAGAATGCCATTGAATGAAGTGATTGTCATGCCTTTGTAGGTCACCAGCAGTCTAAGTTTGAACACCATTAGCTCTGTGGTGGCTGCAGCAACAAGTGTAATCAGTGTCATCAGTGTGGTTATAAGTGCAAGTAATTATCTTGGTGAAATTTTTGTGGTAAGTATTTCCTCTACTGATGGGATGCAAGTGGAGGCAAGGGCTCACTGAATCCTGCAAAAAACAACAATCAACACTGTGACTGTAAAATCACTTTGGGGAGCTGGGAATGATTGGGAAGTAGAACAATTATTTAGGGATCAGGTGATACATAAATATTTCCCTTCTGTCTATAACTATGTAAAAAGAAAACCACTAATAGTTCACACACATAGGGGCCCATTTATCATGTCATATCTTGAGTTGGCACCCCAAAGAGACCCATAATAAAAGCAGGTTCCTAATAATGGGGATTCCAAACCTCTTGGGAGAAAAGATATATAGATTATGATTTTACAAAACAGGTTTAAAACAGTGAGTTCTTTGTAAGAAAGAACAGATAATGTACTTGTTACCTGGAACCATCAAAATAAGCCATATGGAATTGCCAATGATCAGCCTAAGTGACATAGAAAAATAAGAATTCCTACATCTTAAAGTAGGATATTATGAACACATATACACATGATACCCATACTGAAAATCTTCCTTTTGTTTTGTTTGTGTTGCTGTTTTCAATTTGTATGTTTGTTTGATATTTCTGGAGATGGTGGTACTGCTATATAAGCTGGGCTGTCCTTGAATTAAAAACTACCATCTCATCTCAGTACTGGGAATATAGTTGTGAACTACCAGGCCCAGCCTGTAGTTGTTTATGTAAATTAAAATATGTTATGTGAGACCATTTGTAGATCATATGAGAGTAATTAAATATTTGCAAAAGATGATATGAGGCATACAGACATAACTTCTGTACTCTTTGACCCTCAAAGAGCCTCTGAATTTGCCTACTTAGATGGTCACATTTCTGAGAACAAGGCTACCATCTCCTCTACTTTCTGTTCTCCACTTGCACTTCCCACAATGCCTGAAACACAGAGGCTACTGGATCTGTTGAGGTGGAAGCAGGAATAAGAACAAGAAATGCAAATATTCTCAGGGGCCCACTGAATCAGTATCTCTCATGTTCCAAGCTCCTGATTGACTGACTAATTCACAGGAGAGGGAGCATTTCTAATCACTGAGAGGAAAAGACAGAATATTCAAGCCCAACAATTCCAGGCACCAGTTCAAGGCAAGAGAATTCAGAACAAATGTGACACATTTGTTCCTCTGTTTTGATCCTTTGGCTTAATGAAGAGTCAGACAAAGCCAAATGCATTGAATACTAAGGAAAATGGTGTGCAACACTCCAACCATTTACCATAGTTGTGGAAATTACTATCAAATTAGTGCATAATCTAAATGTATTACAGGATGACAGAAGTTCAAAATGCATAAAATCAAAATGTCAGGGCTATTGTCCTTCCTGGGAGATTTAGGGAAAGGTACTTTTCTTGGCTTTTCTGCCTTCTATCTACATCCCTTGGCTCGTCCTTCTGTTTTCACTGTAAGCACTACAGCATCATCTGTCACTTGGACTTTGATTCTTTAGCATCTTGCTTCTACTTGTGAAGATGTTATGATAACTTGGATACCCTACAGGAGGCCAGGACAATCTGCCTGTATTTTCTGATAAACAACCTTCATTCCCACTGCAAGGTAGGATCTCCCCATTCCAGGGCTTGGTTAGAAAGCCAACCTGAGAGACGATTCTCCTCAAAAGTGAGATAATATTATTTTTTCTCCTTGCAAAATGTCTAACATCAGAGCATAGCAGGCTCTGATAATTTTTGTTAGTAAAAGATTGAGAAAATAAATGACATTCATGAGGCCAGGAAATTGTCTTAAGTGTTGGGCCATATCAAAAGCTGGATTTCCAAATCCTCAGCCAGGATCTTTCCTCTTTTGGCAAGGTAGTCAAGGGGGGCATATTTCAAACTTATCATCTCCACTCACAATTCACATCCCTTTGTATAAATCTGTTTTTAGGGTATAGATGTTTTGATGCTCATTTTAAATACGCTAGAATTCTGCATTGCTGTGTCTGTCTCTGCCTTTGGATGTAAAGCATCCTGTTGCAACTCCAGTGAGGTGAGTAACAGTCCTTGTTGGATGATATTTAGTAGGTTTCTATTGCTCTGTACTCAGTCACACAAATGTAGTTGCTTTCAAAGACACATCTTCATTGTCTCTTAGCTTTCTCACGTCATGACCATCAACAGCTTAGCTGGGTCCCCTACTCAGATGCAAAAGGTTGTGTTACCAGGGAAACTGAGGTTCTCTTTATGGTTCTTAATGTCATTAATAAAAGAGTTTAGAACCAGACTTGATAGGAAGCTCAATAACATTTTATGACATTTTGAGAGAGGAGAAAACAACAAGACAATCTGAAAATCCATGCTGCCTTCAGACAGAGCGGAGATGAAAGATTGAAAAAACCCAGAGTGTCTGGGAAAACAAGTTTAGGATTGCCAAGTCACAGATTTGCATTCAGAGGTTACCCAATTCTAGATCCTTGTTTTGCAGAGCAAAAGACTGTACCAGGGACTCATGCTTAGAAATAGTAATAGAGATCATTTATTAAGAGAAACATTCCTAAGAATAGAAGTGGGTTTGTGAGCTGTAGAAAGAACATGGAAGGCATCCGGCCACAGAATGTAGCATCCTTTACAGGACTGTTAAAGACCCAGTCTTTTATGTTTGCATCTCATGCTTCACTGCCAACTATCCCCACCTAGCATGCTCTGTTCTTTAGGTGAAACCCAAGTGAAAAAGGGTTTCCAGTCTTCTGTACACAGGTTTCTTTCATGTGCCAATCTTTTTCATTGTTTGACAATGCCATAATTGTATCTAATGTGCTTTGATCAAATCCATCCCCATTTTCTCCACTCAAACTTCTCCTTTCCAAGCCCTATTGTCCTGTATAAAGTGTGCTCAGGAAGTCTACTGGGTTGTTTATCAGAAACTTTCAGTTAGTGCACACCTGGCCATTGTCTTTCCCTAAGACTGCTGCAGATGTTCTCGAGCACTGAGGAGGAGGGAAAGTCACATAAGAAAGTGACAGACAGGGTAATGGTGGCAACCATCTTTGTTCCCAGTACTTGGGAGGCAGAGGCAGACAGATCTCTGTGAGTTTGAGTCCAGCCTGGTCTACAGAGAAAGTTCCAGGACAGGCTCCAAGGCAATAAAGAGAAACCCTGTCTCAAAACAAAACAAAACAAAGAACCTGACAGACTGAGCAGACCAGGAAGTAGACCATGGAGATGATATGCCAGGAGTGGCTTTAAAGTTTCAGAGCTTTAAGTAAAGAAAGTATCCAGTGAAACTCAGCAATATCTCCCTAGAGCAGAACAATGCTGTCACTGATGACCTTCTGTGTTAACCCATAAGAGTAGTGGCCTAGGATCATGTGATGCTTAAGTATGTACATCTTCTTCATTCTATCACTGCCCCACATCACTTGAGTTTGTGTAGGGCAGAATTTTCCCAAGTCTCATGGTACTTCTGCCATTCTGGGCCACTGTCACATGTGCAGAACTTTCTTCATGGCTGTCACACCAAGGCCTGGACGTGATGCTGTCTGCAGGAGTCAACTAGTTTGAAAGAACACCAATGTCATTTCCCATAACACCCTTGATTTGCTTAAGCCATTTACATGGAAAATCGATGCTTCAAGATGGAGCTGCAAACATCAGCTTCTGTGGTCTGCCATAGAATGAGTATCTTATGTGTACAACATCTGGTCCAAGTGGTGTCTGAGACACCAACCAGGTGTGGTTCAACTCAGTAGCAACAGTGTAGACACTGGTAAAGGTGACATTTATGGGGCAAGGGGAAAGAAGCTCTGGCTATATTGGGTGACTCAGTGGCATTTTGATTCATTTCACAGATTGTGGTAATTCTACCATCAAATCATTCTGTGTCAGCAGCGGTGCCTCCCATGCTACTTCAACCATTGGTACCACCTGTATACCAAGAAAAAGGTGTTCCAGAAAATCTATACAAGAACTCCACTGGAGAAAGAGTGCAGTTCTGATTGTGTGTGGTGGTGGTGGGGTGGCAGGAATGGGTAATCACCTTTGATTACCAACCAAACATAGCAAGGAAAGTATGTCAGCTAGCACAATTGTGATGCTTTGTATTTTTGACCCTAACCTAATAAATTTATAATTCAGCTATGTGTTCTTGTGAACTTTAGATTATTTTCTGGTGTTTTTAAAGCTATTATCAAAACATCTGATATAACCTGAACTACTTTTAAGGCTTTGTTTCATCTAATGATGCACACTGAAACCTGGGACTGCATCTTTCAGCAGTAAGAGTAAAGGAATTTGAGCAAGCTTGGCTCCTGGGACTCAGTTGTTTTCCTTAATCATTAACTTGAGCTGTGATCTATGCTGCTCTTTAAATAAAACTCAAAGGCCCTTGTATTTATTTTTATTCATCAAAAATCTGTATAAGCTAACATTATCATTAATTAGACATAACAGTTTATGGAGGAATCATCATAATAATCCACAGGTAGAAAAATCAAAAACCAGAAAAACAAAAACAAAAGCCCAGTAGAATGGGATGTTTCCATGAGATAAACATACTACATTACCATACTACATTACAGGCGGTGGGGATCTCCCCCACACCCATCCACACCATGCCAGATACCAGAAATAGATAGCAGCAGCACACATGTAAAGGCACAACAGAAGCAAAAGATATTCTGAAGTCTGTGGTCTGTGGGCCTTGCCTGTCCAATATTGACCCAGCAGAGAGTTTTCTCTCGGTGGGCTGACACCTTGAACTTCATTGATCATCTTCTGCTCCCCTGACATGGCCACCTACTATATACTGCCTTCCAGTTTCTTCATGAGCTTTCTGCTCCCCGGATAAGCCTCACTGAGAGGCTCTGCCACATGTGATTGCTGCCACAGCCCTGCCCCACCCGTTTATTCCTCCCAAAGGCACACCATGCCTGCAGAAAACATTAGCTAAAGTCAACTTCTACTTTTTAATTTGCCTTTCATCTGTATTTTGGCTGTAGTAATCAGAAAAGTAATTAATATACTTACATAATATTAGTAGTAGTAGTACATTCCAATGTTTATGAACATAATCTAGTATAAAATTCCTACTAAATTTACCCCACTCTCCACAACACACACACACACACACAAATTATACATAATTTGGTAAGAATAATATATCTAACGTTTACTCATATAGTCGAATAAATGTGGTTGGCTAGTAAATATAGCTGCCTCTCTAGTATTTTAAGATTGCTATCACCTCGATGCTTAGGTCATTTCTCACTCTGGTTTTATTTTTTATTTTGTGATCTGTTCTTACATTGTTTTTTAATTTAGATGTTGAGTATGAATTGATTGTTTTGTAAAATTTGCAATGTCCCCAAATTTAGATGTTGATATCCCTAACTTCTAGTGTTGCAGGAAGTTTATGGGGTGTTTAAGGTAGGATCGCAGATCACTCATGAATGATGTTAGTGCCCATAGATGCAGGCAAAAAATGAAAAGCAATTGATTCGAGACCAGTACCAATAAGACTATGATTGATTTGAAACTGTTTCAAGTAAGAAAAATGAGATGTTTTCCCTTACTGTAGTTACTCAAAAGTCTACAGAATCAGACAAAACTGCAGGTGTGTTTCTGGTCTGTAATGTGTCACACTCACTAAGAATCCCAACACTTTGCTCAATTCTGTTTCTTTCAAGTGGTTCCTTCTTTGTTCTTTGTGTCACTTCCTTGTTCTTATCCTTATGGGAAGTAAGTTCTCAGCTAAAGATGGAACATCCCAGGTCAGTGTTGAAAGTGCTTATGTTACACTCTCAGCCTTTGTTCTCTGAATCTGGTCAATACTGGAGCAGGTGGACAGGCTGCATTTGCAATTGTATCTTTCCCTATTTCCCAATCACAGTTTGCTACAAGACATTATGAATAAGACTAGCATTATTGCAAAGTAATGCATTTTTTCTTCTCCATTTGGAAGGACTTTGAATTTTTGTTTAGTTCTCTCATTACCAAAGAGAATAGAAAGTATATGTAGAGGAAAAGAAAGCATTTTCCCATAGCTACAAGGTTTCATTTACCAAAATTGTAAAGAATTTATTCAGTATGCACTGTCTCCATTCTTACCATGGAAGTTTTCTTGGGGAGAAAACAAAATCTGTGCTTCTCTCTCAGAAGGAGATGCTTGGCCCATGGTGAGGTGGTCTACAAGACCACTTTTTCTTTCATCTGACACAGAAAAGGACAGGAGACAAATAGCACAGCTTCCATATCATGTCAGAACACTACTGTCTTCCCACTGGGGTGATTGCTGTTCTACAGTGACCAGGGCAAAAAGAGATGCTGAGTTCTAAAGGATAAACTGGTTTAGCTGGGAAATTACACATACCCCAGAGAAGATGCATCTCAAAAATGTTTCTGAGTAGTTCCAGAATCTACTCCGCATTTTCTTGTTTTATGTCATAGTCTAACAAACATTCCTTCCAGAAAGTAATCGAGGAGTAATTTAGCTTTCATTGTGTGTCTGCAACCACAAACAAAAGGAAAATAAGGAAGTAGGCTGGGAATTTAACTAAGCTTAATCTGGCAATATTTGTCTCATTGTTCTTTTTAGAAACTTCAACAGCTATAGTTGGGCATAACATATAATTTTCTGTGTGGAAATATTTTTCATCCTCAATGATAATGGTTTTTCAAAGACAAAAGTTTTATAATAAGATGAACACTTTTCGATTCATCGGTACATTTACTAACACAGGTCTTGTTCAATGTTTACCAATTGGTGAGTAGTAATAGCAGGTATTATGTCATTCAGTCTAGTGAAATGGATAGGTAAAATCAGGAAAACTAAGAGTGTATATATAGTTCAGCAAGACATGTATGATAAATGAAAACTAAATTGATGAAGACAAATTGAAAGTAGTGGATGGAAATGGCAAGAAGTGATCATATATAACACATGTAGATAAATATCTACCACAAATTTAGTAGGTCTGGGCATGTATGCCTAGAATCCCAACACAAGGCCAGCCCTCTGTTACATAGTGAGTTAAAAGCCAATCTGGGCTACACAAGATTCTACATCAAAGAACCAAAGAGGAAATTGGTTCAAGTTGTTACACCTCAAACAACAGTTAAACAGACAACAGTTGACTGATATATCGAGTTTTTGAGTCTTTAATAAGACTGAATATTAATAACATTGTGGGGAAGGGAAGCAGTAATGTAGAAATCTGAATGGTGGAAGAGTAGCAAAGGCAAACTAAATATATAAGCTTAGTCTATGCTTTAATTCTAAGATGGTTATAAGAGTGATAATTATTAAATGAAGAAGATCAAAATGCTAGAACTATTTTGAGATAGAATTTAGGCAAATTAAACTCCTATACTTAGAAGAGGAAAGTAAGGATCAAATCCAGAAAGCATAGCAATTGGTCAGAAAGACATATTACAAAAGACCAGACAGCAGATAGCATATGGTGGAGAAAGTTAAGCAAAAGAAAATAATTCATCACCAGAGACTGTACATTCTGGCCTGGAAAAAATAGGAGAAAACAGCCATCCTAAATGAATGCAAACTATGAAGAGGCGTTTTTTGGGGGGGGGTAGTGGGCAGAGGAGCAGAACATTTACAAAGATGCTTAGAGAGAATAGGAGAGTGAATAGAGAGTCCTAGATGACTAAGCATAGTGTGATATTGTTAATTAGTCATTTGTCTCCAGGAATAGGTGCTGGGCTCAGACTCTGGAAACACCTCAGGATGTAAGGGCAGGATGGAACTAAGCAGAGACTGGGGAGAGGCATCTTTGCTTAAGTGAAGAGAGACCCCTCTCCAAATAAAGCACAAAAGCCCTATGTTGGGAAGAAGAAGACTGATGGTGAAAAAGGATGGATGGGAAGACATGGGATAGGATGGCAAAAAATAACACTCAGGTCACTATGAAGGACTTTGTTAGAGTAGTCTTACAAGCATTACCTCATGTACTCTATTAAATGTCTTTAAGTACATTTAAAGTTGTGAGAGAAAGGAGAGGAAAGATAGAGGAGAGGGAATCTTGGGCAGACAGATTTAATTGTTTATTAGCAAATTCTCCTGGAGACAAAGGTTGCCCTCAAGGGGTCACACCTGCTTTCTGAAAGCTCAGAAGAGTCTCTGCACAGCACTAAGTCACTGGGTTCTGGGGTAGCAATGACTACACGGGGCAAGATAGGAAAGCTCAGTGACAATAGGCATCCTGAGAAGGAGACCCAACACCAGATCAGGGAAAGCCCCTTTCCATGGATTTCTTAGATATCCAGTCTCTCCAATCGCCTGTAAAATTGAAACAGGAATTTATCTCTATGTGGATCTGGCCTTGAGAACAAAGGTGACTTGGAAAGATGAAATGACATGTCTTGTGTTTTCATCAGAAGAGTTCATCCGGGTGCGGGATCCACATCCCTCTGATGTGACAGTGACAGCTCATGTTGAATCCCTGGGTTCTTTCTGGCTGACTACAAGAAGGAAGAAGAAAGTTTCCAGAGTATAGCTGTAGAGTTGCTGCATCTGGCTCTGCTTTCCCTGCACAATTAATTATCATCAGTCAGCTTCAAAATTGTGCCTGAAAGTCACGGGACATCTGTCTTCACAACAGCAGCCTGAGTGCGGATTGTTGAAGTCATTCTTTGTATGTTGAAACTTTCCCACTTGTTCTCTCCTGATCTGTTATCTTCTTAGTAGTGTCCAGTTGTAGCCTGAGCACCTCCATTGTTGGAGAAGTCCCATGGTCTAGAAGTTGGTAGAGAAGAAAATTAGAAGGGCTCTAAAGCAGGTAGTCATTAGTCAATGAGTACTGAATGGCTGCTTGTAGCTTTCTCAGGGGCTACAGAATTAGTTTTAAAAAAAAAAATATAAATTAGCAAGTATCATAAGTACTGTAATATGTTCAATTATTACAATTGACTATATATTATTAAATATTCCCTTCTAGATTAAATATAATAATTACTATTATCATTATACTTTATTATATATTATGAAATGTTTTTATTTATCAATATTACTGCAAATATCATCAATATGACTGGAAATAACTTTAATAATCAAGGCAGTTCATTAAATACTAAGAAGCAAGACAGGCCTTTCAAAGAAATTTTATCTCATCTTCAGTTTTCTTCAGTT